CAGCTGGGATTTCAGAAGTAATTCCCCGAGGATGGGCTGTCTTGCTGGGGTGCTGAGGCCCCGCCAGCCCCCGGCTGTTGCTCTGGCCCTCCTGCCTTGGCTGGGTGCAGGGTCTGCCATGCTCTTTCCCCCGGCATCGTGCTTTTCTCTGGAGGGCTGAGTGTCCAGCGTTGCTCTGGGTGTTTCAGCCCAGACCGCACACGTTTAGGGTGCAGAGCCTCTTTGAGAAGGCAGGGACCAGGCGGTCGGTGCCTAGCCAGGAGTCCCTCACTGCCTCTCTCCTTCCCCTCCCAGTGCATCACAGACCGAATACATTCCCCTGCACATCTCTGGCAAGAGCCTCACCGTGACCGACGAGCGAGAGACCATCCAGCAGAGCCTCAACAGGTACCAGGCGGCGTCACCTCCTGCCCTGCCCCTACCCTGGTGCCACGGGGCCAGGGCTCAGGCTGCATCTCCCTCTTCTCTCCTGCAGCTCACAGTGTCTCACGGGAAAGTACGTCTCCCTCCGATGCACAAGTAAGGGGGCTGGCTGGCCAAGGGCACGTGGCCAAGGGCAGGCAAGGCCAAATACATGCCGGGGAGCACTTTCCTCCTTTCCTTGCACGGAGTTGGGCAAATAGGGTGCTTGCCAGCAAACTTTCTGGGTAATAGAAAGCTGGGAAGATTGCACTCGGGCAGTGTCTGGTGGCTCCTACGGATGGGCGGAGCAGAGCACCGCTGGTGCCTGGGGTGGTGGGGATGTTGTGCACGTCCCCCTCCAGCCTTTCCCACTCTGAGCCCTGCTCTTCCCCCCAGCCTGCGGGCAGAGGATTTCTGGGCGGATCATCGGGGGAAAGGAAACCTCCGTGAGCAAATGGCCCTGGCAGGTCAGCGTGCAGTACGGGCCCATCCACATCTGCGGCGGCACCATCATCGGCGCGCAGTGGGTCCTGACCGCTGCCCACTGCTTCTTCATGTGAGTGCTGCTGCCTGAGTGCTGCTCTCCAGCCCGCGGGCACTGCCGGCACCCAGCCCGGCGCCTCACTCCTTCCCGCCCTCGCCCAGGAACAGCATGAAGATCCTCGACGACTGGAAGGTGTACGGCGGGGTCTCGGACCTCAAGCAGCTGGCAGAGGCCATCCCTGTCTCCCAGGTCATCATCAACTCCAACTACAGCGACGATCACGACGACTACGACATCGCTCTCATGAAGCTCTCCCGGCCGCTGACGCTCTCAGGTGAGGCTCTTGGCTTGCCGTGCTGCAGGGCTGGCCTTGGCCCGGGCTGGTGTCCAGGGGCACAGAGAGAGGCCAGGGATGGGCTGGAACAAGAGGCAGCTCCAATCCTCCGAGTCATCCCCACGGCTGCACCGGGCTG